CTATCTCGCTGCACATTTGAAGATTTATGATCTGCTTGGCAATCGCCTGATATAAGAAACCAATACAGGTGGTACATCCAGCTTTTGCCTTCTCTTAACACAAGTACAAAACATAGTATATGCATTCTAGAATAAGAATTATCTGATGTTTTCAGGGCCAGAAATTACGTGCAACGCTCTAATTTGTTGTCTGTCTGAACTCGATTCTATTGATCAGTCATGTGATTTTAACTCTCTGCTTCCTTAATTTTACCCATACAGGTGACCACCCTGAAGATGTTAAAGCAAGACTCAAATATTGGGCACAGGCTGTGGCATGTACTGTTAGGCTATGCAGCTGAAGGACATTTTGAAATCAAAAGGTTCATCTTCTAAAGAAAATTTGATGCGCATTTTCCTTGGCAATGGGCAATCAATATAGCCTGGACCTATATCCAGTGTTTGTGCACCACAAATCCTTTCCAGTGCAACTACATGCAGGAAGTTAAGCTCTTGCATTTTGTTTAGCTGGAATGGACCGGCCAGAGCATATGCAATGATGGGCCGGCTTTAAAGTAGTTGAAGAAGAAGAGGAGGAAGAGAAATGTTTCAGGTTTGAGATTAACTGCATTCTCATATGAGTCTTACTTAATTCGAAGGCGACTAAGATACATTTCTGTGATTATTGTATTGAGAATATTGAAAATAATTTGTGATACGAATAAAGTTATTTCTCCTCCATATGGTCATATTTCTAGTAGCTTGTGTTTGATGTGGTTATAACTAGATTCGAACCTGAGGAGTTGGTTTTTATGCAGTGGTGAGAGCCTCTCCATTAGAGCCTTCACCAAATACTTTCAGACCTCTGTGATTGCTGAGGTAACTAATCTAACTGAGTTGAGTCTTTGATTAATCTTGTTTTGACTTTTGCTGATCCGGAAATGGTTGTTACGGTGTGCTACTGCTAGCAACACTTACTTGCTACTGACAACTAACTGCTGTTTATCCATCCCATGGATAGATTAACCACGCCATTTGGCTGGTGTGGTGGAGGCAAGAATGAGGTGGGGGGGATACAGAAGTGAAGAAGAACAAGCTCACGCATGTGCTGAACTCTATTGTATTTGCTGCTAACACAGTTTTCTTATGATTAACTCAATTGCGCTCTAACATGTGGATGGATTTACTTGTTCTTCCATTTGTCGTAAAAATGAGCATGGACTCAGAAACTGAAGGTTGAGGTTTCATTATACGTTATAGAATGCTGTGATTCTTATCCATTTGGTGCCCTCAGTTTCAACGCTCTTGCAGTTATACCAGAACGGTGTCTTTGGTGTATGATTTTAATGCTTTAGGGTGTGGATCTTCACTTGTTCTGAGAAGATAACTATAACTAACTATAGCACAAAGCGCTTGCGACTGCTTTTTTTTTTTTTTTTTGCTTTCTACAAGCCGTGGTTAAAACTGCCTTACGAGGTTAGCGGCGGTTGTACTGGTGGCAGTATATCAACTGCAGCACACAAATCGCCTCGAAGTGTCCTATGTAACTGTCTCTTTGCAAAGCAGCCAGCGGTATTAATACCTGCTGGGTTAGACCTCTCTACAGCTGGAAATTTTATCCAAAAGGAATGGCTGGAAAGATTGCTATTCGATGTCAAATTCGGATAAGAAGCAGAATGAAAGCACAAGAACGCAAGAGATTCTCAACTTTGCAAGGTTCCTCTAGAATCTTCTGTAATTTATTACTGCATTCTGAATACATGTACTCTTCCTTGACAATTAGTTACGTGTACAGAAATGATTCTTCTTACATAATGGATGCAACGAATGAGTTTTCTAGGATAAGACTGGTCACTGTTTTGGAATAGAAAACACAGGACAGTGAAGACGGAGCCTAAACGCAATCTAGTTACAGAGCCTAAACGCAATCTAGTTTTCTTATTATTTTGCTCAACTTTGATGCTGAGGGAATCATCTGCCTCAATTAACAACAGTTTTCATTAACAAATTTTCACATGAATACCTCTTCTGAGTGTGGATACACCTGTCAAAAAACCTTAAGCTTGTGAATTGATAAGTAGCTCCAAAGATCAGGAAAAACCCTACTCCTTAGACCCCCAAATGCAACATAGAGAACTTGGGATATTTTGCATGGATCCCCTCTCAGAACAAAAAGGGATAACCCACAAGACAGTAATGAAGTCATTGTAGAATTCAATTCTGCTGTCCCCTGGCTACGAAGGTTCCTCGTTTTGGAAGCAAGCAGCAGTAGCAGCAGCCTAATTTGAATCACCTAGCAAGTGGTATTCCATTTTCATGAAATCCAGTCAGAATTTTCTTTGTATCAAGACACGCGTTTATTTCTCCACTTGTTCATGCTCTTATCATCAATTTTAATTGACTTTTCAAAGATAAACGAGCAATTAGTTTCCTCTAAATTTGATTGCTTGCGCGTTAAGTTTCTGACAAGGAAGCAAGTTGACCCTTCAACTAACCATAAAGATAAGCACTTCGAGACTTAACAAAAAAAGAGAGAACACAATAATGAGGTTGGAGATGATTGGTGCTCAATAATTGTAAATGATTAAAGAATATTTTAGATGCTTAAACAAATATCAAAGATGTTTAGTGGTTTACAACATCATTAACTGATTGATTAGCTTAGGGTTAAAAAAAGAATGTCATATCCACTTGTAAGAATTTTAATCATTTTTTAAATTTGCATAGATAACATTAAAAGACAGGAAGACAGCATGCATGAACTCATTTTTTGTGTCATATGTCATGGTTTAGACAATTATAGGCAGCAAAGAATAATGTCTTGAAATAGGGTAAGACAGATTTGGCTAGCAAAGACTAGTATTATTATATACCAAAGTAAAATTTTGGTAGCATCCATCTTTATTATTGCTATGAAATCAAATTACACGATACAACCTGATTTAGGAAATTCTATAATTTCTCACTTTTTTTTTCAAAATAAAAATCAATAATTCAAGGGTCGAGTTTTGACTGGGTTTTACCCTAAGTTGATCGGGGCACTCCTAGTTTTTCCTTCAACCTAAAATAGTTTAGAACTCAAAATAGCTAGTTGCTAAGTTAATTTGTTAGGTTAGTTCAAGTTTTATAAATAAGATTTTTATTTGAGTTGAACTGGATTAGTTCAAGAGATTATTTGAAATGGCATTCCAAACAGTATTTCATTAAATTTTGAATTTTTTTGCTTAAATTTTTTTTTTTTATATTTTTAGATCAATTTAATATGATATTATAAAAACTAATTTAAAAAACAAATAAAAATCGTTATTTTAAAACATTTACAAATAAAAAATACTCTACAAAACAACCACTAACACACTTAGAAATATTCAATGCTTTATTAGATTAACATCACTTCATGATTGGTAGCTCAAGCATAGGGATTAATATCTTAAGACTAACCAGCCATGGATCATGTCATCAGCAAATAACATGGAACAATGTTTGCTTACAATCAAATCATCTGATGTTTTGTTCTTGAACTCCACAACATGGAGTCCTGAGGGCGTTTCGGATGATGAGAAAAGATGCATTCCGGATAGTGTAACATATACTGCATTGGTTCATGCTTATGGCGAAGCTAGGAATTGGGAAGTTGCTCATGTCTTATTGATAGAAATGTTAGGGTGAGGTTGGATTCCACATTTTCATGCGTATACTTTGGTGGATAAACTGTTGAGAGATCATGAGTGAATGGATTTGTCTAATAAATTGAAAAGAAAGTTGGAATCACAGATATTGCTTAAGCATTGTAAAGCAGGGCAGAGTCTGCTGATGAAAAACTGAGATCAAAGCTTGAAAAAGGTTTCTACCCACCAATGTACGTAAGGGATGCTTTTGAGCACGCATTGCAAAAGTATGGCAAATTCGAAATAGCTCGTTAATAGCTACAGAAGATGGACAAAGATCGCGAGCCTTCTAAGACAGAAATTAGTTCTTGATGAGCTTTGATCAACCAATTACGTTTACTCCACAGGTTTTTTTTATCAGTTATGATAAAGTATAGGCAGTAACTATGCATTCTCTTTGGATGAACTTTCCAGTCCTGAGCCAAACCAAGAATCTCTACAAGAGTCATGGTGTTCGTCTTGGTTGCACACAGAGGACTCGACACTGCTTTTAAGGCTTTCTGAATGAACCAGGTGATGATGCTCTCTGGTCAATGTAATGGCAGAGTTACCTCCTGAGAAGTCCCGCACGAACAGAAACCTATTGCCAGGATAATGGTTGGTCCACAGGAGAGAAGACACCAGAATTTGGGATGGCAAGGAACCCATCACTTGTAAAACATATTGATACTCGAGCTACTTGTAAAGTTGTGCAGCAATGATCTCTGTATTTTCGTCCCAGCATGATCTTTGCCTTGCTAGTTTTCTGTATGCTGCATAAGCTATAACTTAGTCGATTTGGTTGCATCAAAGTGTTCGCATCTCCTGGATTAGTTAATGATGGTAAAAAAATTAACTGGGGAAGGCAGAAGAGTGAAATAAGGACAGTTTAGACCCTGAGCTAACTCTCTATTAGTGCCTTCATGTATTGATAACCATTGCTGTATTGAGATGTTATTTTTCCAGACCTCACAAGTGATTTTCTTTTCATGCTCATGATCATCAAAACCATTAAAGCGATATCCACTAGTATTTCTCAGAGTCGTTAAACACGGCTCGGTTTGACAGGTTGACTCTAGAAACTTGTAACCCGATACCTGATCCAAACCAGGTTTCAAGCTGAACTAAAAAGGACAGTGACTTGGTTAGGTAGTTGACATGGCCAAACCTGGTTGGTCGACTGAAAGGAATTTTTTTAGGGAGTGAAACGATGTTGTTTTGACGAAAATGATTGACTCGTTTACCTAATGACCCGCGAGTTAACCAAGTGAGCTAGGCTCTTTGTCTGACAACATGATACTGTTTCCCACTAAGTTCCATACAAGCACATCTTCATGAATATCAGTCAATGCCTGTCCGGCGCACAAGCACATATGAGAGAACTAAAATCATCTTTATTTTTTCCAGGCAATCATCCAAGTACAAGGTCCATCTTATCCATTATGAAAATAAATATTTCCAATGCTGATCAATAATACATATTCAGAAATCAAGTCCACAAGCACATAACATTCCACATTTCATGTCCTTCAACAATATTCCCAGTATATGCCAATTTCCTGCAAAATGAAGGCGAAGAAGATACAATCATATGACAGAATTTCATTAAAAAGATCGATACTTGGAACAAAAAGTAAATGAAATGCAGCCCAGGCAGCAGACTTTTCCTTAAAATATGTTTGAAAAGATAATTTCACCATGTTATCGTACATCCTAGAACTAAAATATTTCCTGTCTTAAGTGGATTTTTTCCAACTTTTACACACTGACTGACAGCATGTATTGCCCACTGTCAACTTCTATTTCAAAGGATACTAAGTGGATTTTTTCTCAACTGAGTTTTGCTACTTGAAAGAAAAGAGATACTAGAAAGGAAGTAACCTTTTTATTTCGTATCGAAAATGAAATGAAAAGAAAACAAAGAAGCAGAAAATTTATCTTAAGAGGACCTTGGTTGTACTCGATTGCCATACTGCCAAAACCTACCTATTTGTGATACCTGATTCGCTAACTTAATCAACAACTCCTACATGATTCGAATTTTTATAGCATCTAGGAAGATAATATATCGCGATTGAAATATGAAAAGAGAAAATCCATGTTTGTGGGCAGCTGGAACACAAGTTGAGTCTCAAGTTTAACTATCAAACCTTGGTCAATAGGAAGATCACAGCAGATTCTGTATGTCTTTCTGCAAATTGGAATAAATGAATGTCAGATGAAGTTCGCAGAAATCCTTGGACTCAGATGTTGTAATAGGAGAAGAAAAACTGACCTCAATCTTAAGGGGTGATGTGGTAGGAGCATATCTCTCAACAACCTTTCCTTCTTTGTTTACCAAAAATTTGGTAAAGTTCCACTTGATGGCATCTCCAAAATACCCTCCTTTCTCTGATTTTAAGAACTTGTAGACTGGTGCTGTGTTCTTCCCATTCACATCAATCTATAACCAGATAGAGCATATTCAAAACATCTCCATATTCTATCAAATTGAAGAACTGATAAAACCTGGGTCCCTTTATTAGGAATATTTGCATCAGGGTTGAAGTTTAGAGCTGAGAAAACAGTGGCAATAATTTATACTACTTTTTTTCAAATCTTTCTTTCATTAAGCATTACCTTATCGAAGATTGGGAATTCAGCTTTGAAAATTGTGCATACAGTGTCCTGAATCTCTTCATTGCTTCCTGGTTCTTGTCCAGCAAACTGGTTGCAAGGAAATGCCAAGATCTCGAACCCTGCCATAACCGTGCCAGCCGAGAAGTTAAAACCTCGAATCTACAGAGATATTGTAAGCAAACGTCTCAAAAATAGAGATGTTGCTATATGAGAATGAGTGACCAACCTTGGTTTTTGTACTTTTCATACAAAACATTCAATTCCTTGTAGTTTGAATGTGTGAGGCCGCTGCAGAATAAAAAATAAGATTCAATAACAGTCAAAAGGCTCATTTAAACAATTTAAATTTATCTGCAAAAGTAAATTTAATTCATACAAGTAATATGACTAACAAAAAGTACAAGAAGAACGGTTTTTAGTTAAAATATTGACGATCATGAAGAATTTCAAAGTTTTGACCGCAATGAGCATGCAACTTACCAATGATAAAAAGAGGCTTCAGCCTAAAAGAAAAGGCTATGCTATATGAAGACCCCAACCAGGTATAATTCAACTGTTGAAGTGAAAGTCATTTTCCAAATATTGGTCGGCAACAACCCTCGATACTGCAGAGCTGGGAATTTCCGAACAAGCATTTTTCCCTCATACATGTATGATAAGTTCCTATATATCTATATAATACTGGATCATCTGCCCTTGAGACTACATGCTACTGATTATAATCGTAGATGATTAGATTCTTTGCAAACAGATAAAAATACGATTACGATTCTAAGACCTTCAACAAGTGGAGAAATTTTACGCATGCCATGAAGACAGCAGGTATTTTGGTGCCAACCTTGCTGTCAGAGAAAGAACGTTAGGTATCCCAACAGACATTTACATGTCACTGGTAGTTGACAAACTGGACTAGTTTGCCCAAAACTGGGGAGATGCAGATAGAGAACTATTTCAGGAAACCAGAAAGCCAGAATGCCAGACACGAAAGAGATCATGATAGATTACCATTTGGAAGCAACATTCACAATAAGGAGCACCTTCCCACTGTATTCACTTAGACTCGTATCGTTTCCACGGATATCCTGCAACACAGCAAGAAACGTTATATAAATCTGGGATTCCTCAACTTCAAGAAACATAATTGATGATGCCATCTCAACAACGTCTAATCTGCAAATCACAATTCCATATTACCCTAACTACAACATGGCTCAGTTATCTAAAAAGAAGGAGCAATAATTAAAATAAAATACACAAAGGACTTGGAATTAGAGTATCACTATCCATTTGAATATGATATCATCAGCCTTGCTCATAGATTAATTTTCTCCAAGAAACTCATAGCCTGGACTGGAAATAATTCAAGTCAAATGTCCATATCTGAATCCTGGACTACAAAACTCTACTGGAAGGACCCCATACCAATGATGTTCAGCAAGATTAAGAACCAACAAATATTCAATAAAGTCAAAAGCTCAAGCAATGAATTAACACACAGAACATCAACAAATCCATAACAAAACAATAAGAGTTTAAAGCTTTGTTCTCTGTTCTCTACTTTTTCCCGTTTCCTCACCAACCACACAGCAAACAATGAAAAAGAAGGAAGAAGATTGAACATTACCTTGACAGTGAAGTCATAGATGGACTTGGGACTTTCTTCAGCCATTTTTCTTGAAGGAATAAGAGAGGGGTAGCTGTAAAGGGCCAAGATTGCGAAACCAAGAAAAACAAGAGAGATGGTGTTGGTGAAATGCATCTTATAGAATGCCAACATATATATATATATATATATATATATATCCTTTTGTTTAAAGACTTGATGGTGAAATCTTGAACGCATCCATTTCTTTAAAGACTTGGTGGTGAAATCTTGAACTGTTATGCGTAACGTTGACAAATCTGTGAATTATTAGAGTGTGAACTGAATCTTTTTGATTTTTAGTATTTAAGGAGGATGGCGGGCATGCAGGTAGGACTATGGCTAGGTGGCACTATTCGACTATATTAATTACGTGGGGCTCGATTCAGTGCTTAAACTTAATGTTATAATTATAAATAAAGCTTAATTACGTGGAGTTTTTGTTGTTTGCAAAAATACCGTTCACCCTTTCATAATAATTTATTGTAAATTATAATAGTGTAATTTAAAAAACAATAATTTAATCATTGGATTTTGTTTTTGTATAATTGAGTTTTTTTAAAGTCCAACTACATGTTATTTTGTACGATAATTGAATTGAAAAGGAAGTGACTGGAGTTAAAAAAAAAGGGGTAATATAAATAATGAATTAAAGATTTCTATCAAAGATTCATTTGAATACCTTGTATTTTTTAGCTATTAGATGAATGTTCTATTCAACTTATTTAACTTTGAAAATTTTAATTTTGATATCAAATTTTATTTTATTTATTTTTAGTTTTTTATTTGTTAAAAGATAAAGAGAAAAGATCATTGAATTTCAGTTTAGAAAAAAAAAGTGTTTATTGATAAGGAATTCAGATACCAAAATAGTTGATTTTTATGTTAAATGGTTTCATGAAAAAAATTATTAATTTTTTTAATATTGTTTTTTATGATATTTTCATATATGTATCCTTGCACTTTTTATTTCAATAAATGTTATGTGTGTTGGTTTTTATTACAGATTTTATATGTTTTTCTATTACTGATGTTACGATGTTACTATAATTTGATTTTCATTTGTCACTTGATTTATTATAACATCTCAGTTTTAGATTAGTGTTTTATTTTATAATCATACATATTTATTTTGTTGTGTAGTTAAATAAAAAATAGTTTTGAAAAAAAATTATAATCTTAGTGAAATTAATAACCCAGTTCACATGTTTGACATATTAATCCGAATTACTCGATTCATAAGTTTAATAAGTCCACTCGCTAGACTAATATGTTTCTTTGGTTTTTGGTATATTATTTGTTTTTAATATTTTTTTTCTCAAATTTTTTTTTTAATGTTGAATTAATTAAAAAATAAACTGTATGATATATTTGTTTTTATTTTTTTTAGGGTTATCACTGTTTTAGATAAGTTTTTATTTGTAGGTTGGTATTCAATTATATGACTATATTTTTATTATATAGTTGAAAAAATATTTTATAATTTGTTTTTATTAAATTTGATGGAGTCCACGAGGCAATTTGCTTGAGAATTATGACCGATCTAATATGTCATTATCTTAATAGTTTTTGTGGAAAAAATTGATATTTTAAAATTTTGTTAAAAATTAAGCTATTTTTTTACTGGTTATTAAAATTGCATTTGAATCTGTAAAATTAATTAATTTAATTCAAACTAATTCTAGTATAATTTAATTTTAAACTCGACTTAAATAAAAAGTTTAATTATAAAATTTCAAGATTTACCCATTAAATTAGTTCTAATGACACTTTTATCTATTGTTTTTACATTTTGAAAAATTTGTCCACCCACGACAAAGTGCATACCAATAGACTTGTTACTTATTCAAATTGGATCCCACACCTAGGAATTTTATCGATTTGGGTTTAAATGTCCAGAAAAATTCTCAATTGGGTTCTAATGTTAATGTTCATGAGCTTTTTGGTCCAGATCTTTTCAAAAAGATGTTGTGTTTGTTGGATGAAATAAGATGCTCATCAAAACATAAATAAAGTTAGGTTTAGAATTAATTTTTTTTTTTAAATATTTTAAAATATTTAAAAGTATAATTACGGTTATTAAGTACTTTTCTATTTAAAAATATATTAAAATAATTTATTTTTTTATTTTTTAAAAATTATTTTTAAAATTAACGCATTAAAATGATATAAAAATATTAAAAAATATTAATTTTAAATAAAAAATAAAATTTTTAATTTTTTTTTTAAAATGTAAAAATAAATAGAACTTCATCCATGTAGCAAATGGATTTCTCTCTTGCTTCACCATCATGAAGAGTTTTCAGGGAGAAATTTTTCACGAACATGTTAATCTTGATGTAAACGTATGCCTATACTCGACTGGAGAAAGATGGCCTTGGATCCTTGGTCATGAAAGTTGGGCCGAGGAACCATGGAAGAAGTTCAGGGATGAATCTGCAGTCTACATCAGACCTTGGGTACTAACTTATATTTTCCAAAAATTCTTTATTCTCAGCATTCACTTGGCTCTCTCAGAACCTGAGGTAGCTTAACACAACTTCTGGCGTTGCTCGTGAGCCAGAGGACAAAACCCTTCTCCGCCACCATCTCCTCCCTCAAAAACCCCTAACCTTCTTCAATTCCGCCATGCAAGAAGTCTGTGAAGGAAAAGACTTTTCCTTTCCATCACAAGAAGAAAAGATAATATCTTTCTGGTCAGAAATCAAAGCCTTTGAAACCCAATTGGAACGCACCAAAGACCTCCCTGAATATATTTTCTATGACGGTCCACCGTTCGCCACCGGCTTACCTCACTATGGCCACATTTTAGCTGGTACAATCAAAGATATTGTGACCAGATATCAGACGATGACTGGGCATCATGTGACACGTCGTTTCGGATGGGATTGTCACGGATTACCAGTTGAAAATGAGATTGATAAGAAATTAGGGATTAAGAGAAGAGATGAGGTTTTGAAATTGGGGATTGATAAATATAATGAGGAGTGTAGAGGAATTGTTACTAGGTATGTGGAGGAATGGGAGAAAGTTGTTGTTAGAGTTGGGAGATGGATTGATTTTAAGAATGATTATAAGACTATGGACTTGAAGTTTATGGAGAGTGTTTGGTGGGTTTTTGGTAAGTTGTTTGAGAAAGGGCTTGTTTACCAGGGTTTTAAGGTGGGTTTTTGTTGCTCTGTGTTTTTGCTTTCATTTGATGGTTTCTTGTTGCGTTTTTTGGTGATTTGCTCGGTCTATAGAGAGGTTTTGATGTTGGTTTTGTTTGATTATAAGATTTATTGTGGATTTTTTTACATGGGTATTGGAGATTTTGCAAATGCAGTTATCATTTCTTTATAAAGTGTTGGTTTTACGAAATTGAAAGTAGTACCAACATAGCATCATTGTGTTATAATATAATATATGTATTGGATTTTGAGATTTTTCAAATTTATTTGTTGAAATAGGATCTCTGTCAAATAGGGCTTCTTTGTTTTTGGACAGAAAAATGTGTAATTTTGTCACTTGCTAAGGTTTATCAGTTTTTTGGTTATGTTGGGTGAGTCCTTTCCTTAACTGGGGTGTGAATGTTTTCAGTTCACTTTAGTGGTATATATTAATTACCATGTGCTGTTCTTATTGTTTCTTTGCAGGTCATGCCGTACAGTACAGGTTGCAAAACTGTGCTGTCAAATTTTGAAGTTCAGCAGAATTATAAGGTTCGTGATTTCTAATTTTGTGTATTGCTTTGTGAATCAACCTGCTGATGTAATTGATCCGACACTCCTGGTGGGATACAGGATGTACCTGATCCTGAGATAATGGTGTCATTTCCAATTGTTGATGATCCTCACAACGCATCCTTTGTTGCTTGGACAACTACACCATGGACTCTTCCCAGTAATCTTGCCCTTTGTGTTAATGGGAATTTTGACTATATTAAGGTTGGCATCTTGAACTTCTTCTTGATGTCGATTATTGTGGACAAAATAATGGACAAAATAACAACGAACGACACTTCAAATATGCTGGGTGCCATACAATCGAACATTGTTTTAGTCTGCAAATTAATTATTGTGCCTTGTATTCCTGTAATTCTAGATCCTTGGTTATATACTTTATACTTAGTGGTTCATTTCTTTTCTCAATGCTCATTAACATGGTGAACCATTTAATCATGTTCTGTCATGGAAAGCAACCTCACAGGTTCAAGAACAAGGCTTGTGAAAATGTGCTTAAGGTTGTTTCACATGCTAAGGGATGTGCATGTGCATGCACATGCTCATGAAAATGTACTTTTATCTATTAGTTTTAAAGTGATTGCTGAAGTAGTAATTATCTCGATTGGGGCGTGCTTAAAGATTCTTAGATCTTTGTTTTGGCACTTGGCCGAAAACTTCAGATGTTGCATTTGGCATCATGTTTTTGCTGATTTCATTTATGTTGCTTTTCTGAATTGTTTGTTGAACATGCTTGTACTTGATTTTCTGATATGCAATGCGAAACAAAATCCAGGTTCGGAACAAGTACACTGGAAAAGTGTATGTTGTTGCTGAATGTAGGTTGTCTGCACTTCCTATTGAGAAGCCAAAATCAACTGCCTCTGGATCTGCTGGCCATTCAAAGACGTCAAATTCTAAAATTAAGTGCGGGAAGGCTGAAAACTTAATGGATTCTTATGACTTGGTGGAGAAAGTCAAGGGCAATGAGTTGCTGAACAAGAAGTGAGCCATGCTTTCATATTATGTCCTATCTTTCATCCATTTTACATGTGCTTCTAGCAGCTGACACATCACTTTAAGATGGTTGCTCCTGATTATTTTTTTTTCCTTTAATCCTGTATGTGTGAAGAACTTTTCTTGGTCAATTTTTAGTGATGGAATATGGTTCTTGTCATCACTTTTGTCGTTGGAATAATGTTATACATTCTACTGGATGGTAGGTATCAGTCAGTGTTGAGATTCTGAGAGAGATTATACTTTGCAGGTATGAGCCACTATTCAATTACTTTAGGGAGTTCTCGGACACGGCATTCAGAGTTGTTGCGGATGATTATGTGACTGATGACAGTGGTACTGGTATTGTTCACTGTGCTCCTGCATTTGGTGAAGAGGATTATCGTGTTTGCATTGAAAATAAAATACTTAGCAAGGTTG